TATTTTAGGTTTCTCAGCCACTTTTTTGTTTGTATCTTATTATCTAGAGAGACAAAGCGAGAGATTTGTTCTAGAGCTTTTGGGGAAACAATTATGAGACTCTATTTCTTCTGAGAGAAGAATTTGAACCCCTTTTATCTCTATACTTATTTCTTTATGCAATCTATTTTATTGATGATGTTTTCTCAATTCACCATATCTGATTAGTTTGTTAGTTAGGTTTTAGGTTTTCAAAGGTTATGAATTTTTGGAATTGAATTACTGTTGGGATTAAGCTGTTAGTTCTTCATCTAGATTTGTGTTTATTGCTTATTCTAGTTTCACGACCTAAAATCTGATATTAGGTTGATTAATAGATGCGGGAGTATTGTTAATTGTCTGAACTAATCTTAGATGAGCAAAATTACTATCTGCAAAGAGATTTGATTCAGGAATTTTGTGAACAGATCGAACCTGACCTTATTCCTTGTCTGAATTATTTGAATTTGCAAAGAGATTTGGAATTCTAGGATTTAGACATAGAAAAACTCTGAAGCGAGAGTTGATTGATTTTATATTTGTGTTTCGAGTTCTACAACGGTGCTTAATAATGATCCCGACAGTTTTTATTTTGCAATTTCAACCTGCAAATTTCCCAAAGCCTAATGTTTTGTCTTATTGAATTTAAGACCTTAAATCAATCATTAACTGCTTTCTTTTAGTTTATTTGCATTACTTTTATTCAGTTCTCTTATCTTAGTTCGAATCTACAATCGGTTGTGTGGCTTCCTTAAGTCTCTTGGGATTTCGATACTCTTTATAATACATCTGCTTTGTTGTGCACTTGCAGTAGTTTTATTTAGGTGAAACTTTGAGCCTATTAGGGAGCTCGCTGGACAGTCTGACAGGACACACTGATATCTCCCGGGAGGATGTTAGAACCTCCTGCGAGCTCGCTGTACAGTCTGACGGGGTCAGACTGCTGCCTCTCGGGAGCATGCTGAGGCTAATGGGAGCTCGCTGGACAGTCTGACGGGGCAGACTGCTTTCTCCTGAGAGCATGATGGGGCCTCATGGGAGCTTGTTGGGCAGTCTGGCTGGGGCAGACTGGTATCTCCCGTGAGCATGCTTAGGCCTCCTGGGATCTCGCTGGACAATATGACAGAGGCAGACTCCTGTCTACCAGAGCAAGTTGGGGCCTCCTAGGAGCTTGTTGAGAAGTCTGACGGGGGAAAACTGCTGTCTTCCAGGAGCTTGCTGGATAGCCTCACGGGGGCAGATTGTTGGGGTGACCTGACGGGGATCTTCTACATGGAATGCAAAGGAACAGTTAAGAGACCTTCAGAGAGACCAGAAGGAGGTTTCCCTCTCGAAGATTCTTTGACGCTCAAGTCAGAATAGGCCACAAGACAGGAGGATAACCAGAAAACGTGATGGTGAGAGGTGGAATGTGAAAGAAATCAAGAAAATATGTTTTTCGTGGGTGAGCCCCTTTTGTACTTACTTTGAGTGTTGAATTGGTGGAGCACGCTTTTCCAGAGGTGGCCCCAGCGTGGGCTGAAAATTCCTCCCTAACAATAACCCCTGACTATTTTTTTGTTTTTTACGTACAAAAGCAAAGAGTTGAAGTATCAACGGGGATGAATTGGCATGTTGAATCCCTGAGAAAAAAAGCATAGTGCTTTGGGGTGAGCTTCGGAAGGCGATCTTGGAGGATATTCTAAGAGGAAATTTCCCCGGAGGGCCGATCCCCAAAAGGCAATCACAGAGGATATTCCGAAATGAATATGATTCAGAGGGCGAGCTTTAGAAGGCGATCCCGGAGGAAAGCTCCCCAGAAGACGAGCCCCAGAAGGCAATCCCAGAGGAAAGTTCCCCGGAGAGCGAGTCTCAGAGGGCGAGTCCCGGAAGGCGATCCCAAAGGAAATTTTCCCTGAGGGCAAGCCTCAGAAGGTGATCCCGGAGGATGTTCCCCGAGAAAAGTTTCCCGGAGGACAATCACCAGAAGTCGATCTTGGAGGGCGAGCCTTGGAAGGCAATCTTAGAGGATATTTGTAACGCCCGTGTTCCGCAAATCTTACCGGCTGAAAATGGGTTACACTTCTGGACGATACTATTTGGGACTCAGTACGGAGTTATCAAGCTGTGTGCTTAATTATGGTCATAGCCGGAATAGAATGGTCGAGTGAAATCAAGCTGGTCAGCTAGTTCTCAGGAGAAATGGAAAGATAGCCGAGAGTTTTACAAGATAGTCGAGAGAAAGGGAGTCTCTCTCGGAAGAAAGATGGTTTTAGCCAGGGTCATGGTTAAGACAAGCTAAATTCCTATAATGCGGGTTTTTCGGAGTACTTGGTCGGAATTCGGACAGGGCGGTTATTGGTCTGAGCTGAGCTGATAATTATCCAAGGGAATAAATGGAATAGTCGAGAGAGAAATTATGATAGTCGAATTGGTTAGTAAAATAGCCGCGAGATTATTGGAAATGGTTGAGCAGGAACGGTTATATCCGAGAGAAATTAATAGGCGCTCGATTATATTGGAGAGAAATAATTATTTACTCGACTATAATAGAGATTGGCTCGGCTATAATAAAGAGACGGTCGAATTAAATAAAGTGGAACGGTTATATTATGGAAAAGATCTGGTTTATCCGTGAAAAAGGAGCGGGAAACTTAATGAAACGGTTATTGGACAGTTTATGGGCTGTTTATCACGGGAATAGTGAGTTTCTAAGGGAGAGAGATGTTTTCCATGAGAAATCATCGAGAGAAAACAGACAAGATTGATTATGCACAAGATAGTCGAGAGTTTCTCGAGAATAGTCGGAGAGATCCGACGATGGGCGAGTGTATCGCGAATATAACCGATGTGTGACGAGAGTAGCCGAGACAATTGAGGATACGATCGGATGGTTTTCGATTCCGTTCGGTTTCTTCAGGAGAATGCAGAGAGAAAGGGGAATAAGGGAAGGAAAGAGATTTCAGTCGAGGGATATACGAGTTTAGTCGAGCAGTTGTGACGATAGTCTACGGTGATGCAATTACAGCCGAGACGCTGTGGGAACCGTCGAGAGATGCTCGACTATATCCGGGAGAAACGTAACCATCACCGAGAGAATCACGGATATCCGACAAGTTCCAGGACCGAGAACAGTTATGGATGTACTGCGATCATGTTTGTACACGGGAAATGGATTATATCCGAGAGAATCTCCGGAAAGAAGGAGTTATACGAGAGAATCACAAGAAAGAAGGATTTATCCGAGAGAATCACCGGAGAGAAGAATTGTCGTGAAAATAGTCGATGGTAATGCGACTATAGTCGATGCACATTGGAAGTTGCCGAGAGCCGTGTGGCTATAACAGGGGGAAAACGGTTATCCGGTGACAGATACCGAGAGAAAGTGCTTCTGCCGAGAGAATATCCGATATGATGTGGGGATTATGGGAGATTCGCCGAGGGAAAGACAGTCTTCTGAGAGAAAGTGGTCTTGCCGAGTATATCGCCGAGAGAAACAGTTCAGTCAAGAGAATCACCGAGAGATTCTACACGGTTCATGACATCTCTTGGTAATGGTCAAGTGATTTGATCAATGGTCGGGAAAACGTGATTACAGACGGGAGAAGTATGACTACAGTCGGGAGATTCTGAAATGGAATAGACTACCGCCGGGATAAACGTGACTGCAAGCAAGAGTTCCGTGACTGGAATGATTGGCGAGTGGAATGACCGTGAATGGGCTGGCTGGCGTACAAGGTATCAAGGATCCAAGCTGGCTCTCTTTGTTACTTGGTAATGTGGGGATGGTTGGTTGAGTGACTAAGTAATAAGGGGAGGTGTGTGATCGGATTATTGATATGGTGGCTTAGGAGAATTAGTTGATCATGGAGACTACAATTAGTCCATCCGATATCTGCAAATGGCTAAGGTACTTGTATAGCTGGTTAAGTGTGGAATGAGATAATGGATTAAAACTGTTAAGTTGATGGGTTAGATGGATAGAAACCATGGAACCTCGTTAAGTGAAGGAAATTTTAAAAATACTCAAGTCTGACCAGGAAGTGGTCGGATAAATCCTTACTGCATTAAGGAAATCCGGGTCAGGGCATTTCAATATTCCCGGAGGAAAGTTCCCTGGAGGGCGAGCCCCATAAGGCAATCCTAGAGGAAAGTTCTCTGGAGAGCGAGCCCTTTAAGGCGATCCCGAAAGAAAGTTCCCCAGAGTGCTATCCCGAAGTATAGAAGAGAATCCTCAAAAAATGGCAATACCCGATTCCCAGAGGAATATTTTTAAGAGAGCGAGCAGGTAATAAAATAAACAGTAATGGAGTAACCTGAGTAGCAATAACGTAAATCATATGAAGGTGCGTGTGTGCATCTCAAGTGGGGCAATGTCAAACCCATGAGGGAAAAGATGTACCTGAGAGGTATGATTCTGAGGAGAACATATTACGATTCTAGATGGTGCTACTTGTTGCATTTGGTTCAATGCTCCCTCTCTAGCGCCAATTGTTTGGAAGCATTTTGCAAGATGTCTGAAGAGGGTATGTGTTCGTCGGTATAAGTTGATCGGAATAATGGTAGAGCCTAGGGTAGGAGTTCCATCCATTGCAGAGCAAACACCACATCACTCTTCGATATTTTGGTACTTCGACAAAAAAGAAAGTAAATATGTTAATACTTTTGGCTTATTTATTCACATAGGGAGCATAATATAGAGTTTACTCTTTATTGCAACGTAAAATTCTCTTATACTCAAACATTTTACTACGTAAGAATCAACTACTATTTTACTGCCCAGTAAACTTACGATCAATTTATGATCCTTACTATCGTTAACACGTTTTTTTGGTTGTTTTTTTGTATTTATTGTAAAAACAAGAGAGCAAAGTAGAAAATAATTTTGTTCTCAATATTTATCCTAATGTTTTATTTATTGAGTTACTTAAGCACATAAATTTAATGTCGTAGATGAAATATAGTTTTAAATAATACTCTTAATAATAATTAGCAAAACATGTTTAGGGACACTTTGATTCGCCTTTGGAGTTTTTCAAATCGCGGTAGCAAGGATATTCGTCTCTATTTTCAAAAGTACCTGATGGAACACAATAGTTACACTTATCGCAACATAAGTTGAAATACTTCAGGCAATCTTCTTGCGATGTTGCCTTTAAGCATCTCACCTTGCACTTTCCAGCACATGCTGTATATTTATTCACCATCATACATAAATTTATTATTTAAGATAAAAAGGTCCAATGGATAAATTATCTAAAACAATTAAGCAAATTAGATATACTTACGTGAATCAGAATGTACGCGTAAAATAAATGTAAGGAGATAAAAGATTGAAGAGAATTGTATAACTGTGAGCTTCATCTTTATTATTTGGTTAATTTTTGGCTTCTTCTTTTTTTTTTAATAAAGATTGTTAAATCTTACAAAGATGAGGAAACAAATAGTGATCATTTGGGGGATGATGAAACTAAGGATACATGAATAGTATTACTTACAGTGAGAAAATTCGAAGTGATATGTTTTTTATCTCACTTTTCTTTATTTAAATAAAAACATTTACAACTAAAAATTTTTTTCCTCATTATGTCGTACTATTTACAGTTATTTATAGTTCACACACATAGTATGTAAATTTGTTCTTACAACACAGAATTCTTCTAATCTTACAAATAAAAAGATTTCTTTCTTATTATATGGTACTATTTACAATCAGTTACAATTTACATATATAATATGTAAATTTTTTCTTACAACATATATTTCTTCTAACCTTACAAATACAAATATTTATTCCTCATTATGTCGTATTATTTACATTTTGCTACAGTTAACATGCATCATATGTAAATTTGTTCTTACAGCACAAATTTTTCCAATCTTACATGACAAGGTATAAATCTGGTTATTAACACTAAAAAAGTTAAATTTGTCATTATTGGTAATTGTTTTCAAAATTTTGACATTTAAAAATAACAAGATAGTTAATTAGGATAAGTGGTTTATAACAAATAAAAAAAAGAGAGAGTATATAACTATGGAATCAGATTTTTTTACATAAGATTTACTAAATAAATATGCGTTTCTACAACAACTAAGTGTAATAGTTTATATCTTGTTCTTAAATAACTGTACATTGTTTTGTTTAGGTTATGATTTTTTCCAAGTTATATATTTATATTTTGATTAAAAAAATTGAAATCTTTATAAGTGTAGTTTCCTAATATTTATATATACTAATGTTAGGCCACAAAAAAATGTTAAATGTTTTATTTAATAAACAATTGTTTCTATTTTTAAATAATAATTACGATTGGATGATATAAACTTCATTGAGATCCCCAAAAATTCATATCATATAATTAAAACCTATTCTTGATTTTCTCTTGGGATGAGTTATGAACATTTAGAATTTAGAAAAGTTTACGGTCAAGTTTCTGTTTAAGATAATGTTTTTTGGCAATAACAATTTTAGGTACAATGCTTTGAGAAAAGGTATGTAAAGTTAAGCCCAACCATAAACTCAAGATTTATTTATTGAGTTATTTAAGCACACAAATTTAATGTCGTAGATGAAACATAGTTTTAAATAATACTCTTAATAATGATTAGCAAAACATGTTTAAGGACACTTTGATTCGCCTTTGAAAATTTTCAAATCGAGGTAGCAAAGGCATTCGCCTCTGTTTCCAAAAGTACCTGATGGAACACAATAATTACACTTTTCGCAACATATGTTGCAATACTTTGGGCAATCTTCTTGCGCTGTTGCCTTTGAGCATCTCACCTTGCAATTTGCAGCACATGCTGTGTATTTATTCATCATCACACATAAATTTATTATTTAAAATAAAGAGATGCAAATAATAAACTATCTAAAACAATTAAGCAAATTAGGTATACTTACGTGAATCAGAAAATACGCATAAAATAGATGTGAGGAAAAAAAAAATTAAAGAGAATTGTATAGCTGTGAGCTTCATCTTTATTATTTAGTTTATTTTTGAAGTTGCACTTCTTATTTTTTCTTAATAAAGACTGTTAAATCTAACAAAGATGAGAAAACAAGTAGTGATTGCTTGGTGGATGATGAAACTATGGCTACAGGAAAAGTATTACTTATAGTAAGAAAATGTGAAGTTATATATTTGGTATCTCACTTTTTTTATTTAAATAAAAAAATAACAACTAAAAAGATTTTATCCTCATTAAGTCGTTCTATTTACAGTTAGTTACAATTTATATTTATAATATGTAAATTTGTCCTTACAGCATATAATTCTTCTAATCTAACAAATAAAAAGATTTCTTCCTTAATATGTGGTACTATTTACAGTCAGGTACAGTTCACATGTATAATATAATTTTTTTTTCTTACAACATATATTAATTTTAACTTTACAAATAAAAATATTTATTCCTTATTATGTCGTATTATTTACAGTTTGCTACAGTTAACATGAATCATATGTAAATTTATTCTTACAGAACATATTTTTCCAATCTTCCATGATAAGTTATAACTCTCGTTATTAACTCTAAAAGTGTTAAGTTTTGTAATTATTGGTAAATATTTTCAAAATTTTAACATTTAAAAATAGCAAGATAGTTAACTAGGATTAATGGTTTCTAACAAATTAAAAAAGGAGAGTATATAACTATGGAATCATATTTGTTTACATAAGATTTACTAAATAAATATGCGTTTCTGCATCAAATAAGTGTAATAGTTATATATCTTGTTCTTAAATAACTTGATTTTATTTTTATTTAAATTATGTTTTCTCCAAGTTATATAATTATATTCTGAATAAAAATTTGAATATTTATAAGTGTAGTTTCCTAATATTTAGGTACACTAATGTTAGGTCATGAAAAAATGTTAAATTGTTTATTTAATAAACAAGAATTTCTAATTTTTAATAATAATTGCGATTGGATGATATAAACTTCATTGAGATACCTGAAACTTCATATCATATAATTAATACCTATTCTTGATTTTCTCTTGGGATGAGTTATGAACATTTAGAATTCAAAAAACTTTACGGTCACGTTTCTTTCTAAGATAATGTTCTTTGGCATAACAATGTTAGGTAAGATGCTTTGAGAGAAGGTATGTAAAGTTAAGTCCAAACATAAACTCAAGATTTATAATAATATTTTATTTATTGAGTTATTTATGCACAAAAATTTAATGTTGTAGATGAAACATAGTTTTAAATAATACTATTAATAATGATTAGCAAAAAATGTTTAAGGACACTTTGATTCGCCTTTGGAGTTTTTCAAATCGCGGTAGCAAGGGCATTCGTCTCTGTTTTCAAAAGTACCTGATGGAACACAATAATTATATTTCTCGCAACATATGTTGCAATACTTTGGACAATCATCTTGCGCTGTTGCCTTTGAGCATCTCACCTTGCACTTTGCAGCACATGCTGTGTATTTATTCAGCATCACACATAAAATTATTATTTAAGATAAAGAGATGCAATAAATTATCTAAAACAATTAAGCAAATTAGGTATACTTACATGAATCAGAAGATACCCATAAAATAGATGTGAGGATAAAAAGATTAAAGAGAATTGTATAGCTCTGAGCTTCATCTTTATTATTTAATTTATTTTTGAAGTTCCACTTCTTACTTTTCTTAATAAATATTGTTAAATCTTACAAAGATGAGGAAACAAGTAGTGATCGCTTGGTGGATTATGAAACTATGGCTACAGGAAAAGTATTACTTATAGTGAGAAAATGTGAAGTGATATATTTGTTATCTCATTTTTCTTTATTTAAATAAAAAATTAGCAACTAAAAAGATTTTATCTTTATTATGTTGTTCTATGTAAAGTTAGTTACAGTTCACATACGTAATATGTAAATTTGTTCGTACAGCATATAATTCTTCTAATCTAACAAATAAAAAGATTTGTTTCTTAATATGTGGTACTATTTACAGTCAGGTACAGTTCACATGTATAATATGTAAATTTGTTCTTCCAACATATATTTATTTTAAATTTACAAATACAAAGATTTAGTTCTTATCATGTTTTATTATCTACAGTTTGCTAAAACTAACATGCATAATATGTAATTTTGTTCTGTCAGCATATATTTCTCCAATCTTCCATGATAAGTTATAACTCTGATTAATAATATTAACAGTGTTAAATTTTGTAATTATTGGTAATTATTTTAAAATTTTTAATATTTTAAAATAACAAGATAGTTAACTAGGATTAGTGGTTTATAACAATTAACAAAATGAGAGTATATAACTATGGAATCAGACTTTTTTTACATAAGATTTACAAAATAAATATGCGTTTCTACATCAAATAAGTGTAATAGTTATATATCTTTTTCTTAAATAACTTTACTTTGTTTTATTTACGTTATGTTTTTTCTAAGTTATATAATTATATTCTGAATAAAAAAATTGAATATTTATAAGTGTATATTCCTAATATTTAGATATACTAATTTTAGGTAACGAAAAAATGTTAAATTGTTTATTTAATAAAAAAGAATTTCTATTTTTTAATAATAATTGCGATTGGATGATATAAAATTCTTTGAGATACCTGAAACTTCAGATCATATAATTAATATCTATTCTTGATTTTCTCTTGGGATGAGTTATGAACATTTAGAATTAAAAAAACTTTACGATCAAGTTTCTGTCTAAGATAATATTTTTTGGCATAACAATTTTAAATCTTACAGAGATGAGGAAACAAGTAGTGATCGCTTGGTGGATGATGAAACTATGGCTACAGGAAAAGTATTACTTATAGTGAGAAAAATTGAAGTGATATGCTTGGTATCTCACTTTACTTTATTTAAATAAAAAAATTAACAACTAAAAAAGAATTTTAGGTAACGAAAAAATGTTAAATTGTTTATTTAATAAAAAAGAATTTCTATTTTTTAATAATAATTGCGATTGGATGATATAAAATTCTTTGAGATACCTGAAACTTCAGATCATATAATTAATATCTATTCTTGATTTTCTCTTGGGATGAGTTATGAACATTTAGAATTAAAAAAACTTTACGATCAAGTTTCTGTCTAAGATAATATTTTTTGGCATAACAATTTTAGGTACGATGCTTTGAGAGAAGGTGTGTAAAGATAAGCCCAACCTTAAACTCAAGATTTATAATAATATTTTATTTATTAAATTATTTAAGCACACAAATTTAATATCATAGATGAAACATAGTTTTAAATTATACTCTTAATAATGATTAGCAAAACATGTTTAAGGACACTTTGATTCGCCTTTGGAGTTTTTTAAATCGCGGTAGCAAGGGCATTCGTCTCTGGTTCCGAAAGTACCTGATGGAACACAATAATTACACTTCTCGCAACATATGTTGCAATACTTTGGGCAATCCTCTTGTGCTGTTGCCTTTGAGCATCTCACCTTGCACTTTCCAGCACATGCTGTGTATTTATTTATCATCACACATAAAATTATTATTTAAGATAAAGAGATCCAAATAATAAATTATCAAAAACAATTAAGCAAATTAGGTATACTTACGTGAATCAGAAAGTATGCATAAAATGGATGTGAGGAGAAAAAAGATTAAAGAGAATTGTATAGCTGTGAGCTTCATCTTTATTATTTAGTTTATTTTTGAAGTTTCGCTTCTTTTTTTTTTCTTAATAAATATTGTTAAATCTTACAGAGATGAGGAAACAAGTAGTGATCGCTTGGTGGATGATGAAACTATGGCTACAGGAAAAGTATTACTTATAGTGAGAAAAATTGAAGTGATATGCTTGGTATCTCACTTTACTTTATTTAAATAAAAAAAATTAACAACTAAAAGATTTTTTCCTCATTATGTCGTTCTATTTACTATTAGTGACAGTTCACATACATTATATGTAAATTTGTTCTTACAGCCTATAATTCTTCTAATCTCACAAATAAAAAGATTTCTTCCTTAATATGTTGTACTACTTATAGTCAGGTACAGTTCAAATGTATAATATATAAATTTGTTCTTACAACATATATTTATTTTAACTTTACAATTACAAATATTTAATTCTTATTATCTCGTAGTATCTACAGTTTGCTACAGTTAACATGCATAGTATGTAAATTTGGCCTGTTAGCTCATATTTTTCCAATCTTCCATGATAAGTTATAACTCTAGTTATTAACACTAAAAGTGTTAAATTTTGTAATTATTGGTAGTTATTTTCAAAATTTTAGCATTTCAAAATAACAACACAGTTAATTAGGATTAGTTGTTTACAACAAATAAAAAAAGGAGAGTATATAACAATGGAATCAGATTTTTTTTACATAAGAATTACTAAATAAATATGCGTTTCTATATCAAATAAGTGTAATAGTTATATATCTTGTTCTTAAATAACTTTAATTTATTTATGTTATGTTTTTTCCAAGTTATATAATTATATTCTGAATAAAAAATTGAATATTTATAAGTGTAGTTTCCTAATATTTAGGTATACTAATGTTAGGTCACGAAAAATGTTAAATTGTTTATTTAATAAACAAGAATATCTATTTTTTTAACAAAAATTACGATTGGATTATATAAACTTCATTGAGATATCTGAAACTTCATATCATATAATTAATATTTATTCTTGGTTTTCTCTTGGGATGAGTTATGAACATTTAGAATTAAAAAAACTTTACGATCAAGTTTCTGTCTAAGATAATATTTTTTGGCATAACAATTTTAGGTACGATGCTTTGAGAGAAGGTGTGTAAAGATAAACTTCATTGAGATGTCTGAAACTTCATATCATATAATTAATATTTATTCTTGGTTTTCTCTTGGGATGAAATATGAATATTTAGAATTCAATAAACTTTACTGTCAAGTTTCTGTCTAAGATAATATTTTTTAGCAAAGCAATTTTAGGTACGATACTTTGAGAGAAGGTATGTAATGGTAAGCCCAACCATAAACTCAAGATTTATAATAATATTTTATTTATTAAGTTATTTAAGCACACAAATTTAATGTGGTAGATGAAACATAGTTTTAAATAATACTCTTAATAATGATTAGCAAAACATGTTTAAGGACACTTTGATTCGCCTTTGGAGTTTTTTAAATCACGGTAGCAAGGACATTCGTCTCTGTTTCCAAAAATACCTGATGGAACACAATACTTACACTTCTCGCAACATATATTGCAATACTTTGGGCAATCCTCTTGCGCTGTTGCCTTTGAGCATCTCACCTTGCACTTTCCAGCAGATGCTGTGTATTTATTCATCATCATACATAAATTATTATTTAAGATAAATAGATCCAAATAATAAATTATCTAAAAAAAATTAAGCAAAATAGGTATACTTATGTGAATCAGAAAGTACGCATAAAATAGATGTGAGGAGAAAAAATATTAAAGAGAATTGTATAGCTGTGAGCTTCATCTTTATTATTTAGTTTATTTATGAAGTTTCACTTCTTCTTTTTTCTTAATAAAAATTGCTAAATCTTACAAAGATGAGGAAACATGTAGTGATCGCTTGGTGGAAGATGAAACTATGGCTATAGGAAAGTATTAATTATAGTGAGAAAATTTGAAGTGATATACTTGGTATCTCACTTTACTTCATGTAAATAAAAAAATTAACAACTAAAAAGATGTTATCCTCATTATGTCGTTCTATTTATAGTTAGTGACAATTCACATTAATAATATGTAAATTTGTTCTTACAACCTATATTTCTTCTAATCTCATAAATAAAAAGATTTCTTCCTTAATATGTGGTACTATTTACAGTCAGGTACAGTTCACATGTATAATATGTAAATTTGTTCTTACAACATATATTTATTTTAACTTTACAAATACAATGATTTCATTTTTATTATGTCGTATTTTCTACAGTTTGCTACAGTTAACATGCATAGTATGTAAATTTGTTCTGTTAGCACATAATTTTCCAATCTTCCATGATAATTTATAACTCTGGTTATTAACACTAAAAGTGTTAAATTTTATAATTATTGGTAATTATATTAAAAAATTTAATATTTAAAAATAACAAGATAGTTAACTAGGATTAGTTGTTTATAACAAATAAAAAAGGAGAGTATATAACTATGGAATCAGATTTTTTTTACATAAGATTAACTAAATAAATATGCGTTTCTACATCAAATTAGTGTAATGGTTATATATCTTGTTCTTAAATAACTTTACTTTGTTTACGTTATATTTTTTCTAAGTTATATAATTATATTCTGAATAAAAAAAATTAAATATTTATAAGTTTAGTTTCCTAATATTTAGGTATACTAATGTTAGGTCACGAAAAAATGTTAAATTATTTATTTAAAAAACAAAATTTTCTATTTTTTTAATAATACTTGCGATTGGATGATATAAATTTCATTGAGATACCCGAAACTTCATATCATATAATTAATATCTATTCTTAATTTTCTCTTCAGATGAGTTATGAACATATCCATAAATTAAATTATCCATAAAATAGATGTGATTAGAAAAAAGATTAAAGAGAATTGTATAGCTGTGAGCTTCATCTTTATTATTTAGTTTATTTTTGAAATTTTACTTCTTCTTTTTTCTTAATAAAGATTGTTAAATCTTACAAAGATGAGGGAAAAAGGAGTATATAACTATCGAATCAGATTTTTTTTCACATAAAATTTACTAAATAAATATGTGGTTCTGTTTCAAATAAGTCTAATAGTTATATATCTTGTTCTTAACTAACTTTTCTTTGTTTTATTTACGTTTTGTTTTTTTCTAAGATATATGATTATATTTTGAGTAAAAAATTGAATATTTATAAATGTAGTTTCATAATATTTACTAATGTTAAGTCACATTAAATGTTAAATTTTTTATTTAATAATAAAAATATATTTTCTAATATTAATTGTGTTCAGATGATATATACTTTATTGAGGTAGCCTAAAATTCTTATCATATAATCAATACATATTCTTGATTTTTCTTTAGAAAAGATATGGACATTGAGAGTTTAGAAAACTTTACGATCAAGTTTCTGTCCAAGATAATATTTGTTGGCATAACAATTTTAGGGACAATGATTTGAGAGAATGTATGTAAAGATAAGCCCAGCCGTTTGCAATTTATATTCTAATCTTGTATCATACACTCCATGGGATTATAGATTCTTCCCCATTAATCATAATCTCTCCTCTCATTAACAACCCCATGTCCGCATTTTCAAACACAATAACTGGAATTAAAATCATGACAACACCCAACTAGTCTAAGAAAATTAATCTGGTGGCTCAGCCGAGCAGATAATATAATGTCAGCGTAAAGTTGTCCAAATGTGTCTCGTGTAGTTTTATACTCCAACAATCTTTTGAACAATTAACAATTATCGCTGATGATATTTATATATCAATTATGGTTTCTCTTTTTCATATCAAGACAACTTGCATGAAAGATATTTGTGGCTTGAAATATCTAGTTACAAGAACATCTGCGTATTGGAATGGATTAACTAGTACACTTAGTATTAAGTTATTTTAGCAAAATGGCTTCATTCTCCAGGAACCGACTTTCTTCCATGTTTTTTTGGAAGATGCAAATCTTAGTTTTCTGCATCGGTTCTACTTAAAGACTACTAATTTTTAGGAAAAATCGTGTTCAACTTTCCTCTTTAACAAGAAAAACCTAGGATATAAATGCATACAAGATGAGCTCGCCAAAAGAAAAGAAAATTTATAACTTTTGAGAGACCTAAGAAGAAGTCTTTGACGCATTATATTGAATGCAATCATGTCTTTTATTTTTGATTAACTGCTTTTTTTCTGGAGGAATCTTTATACAAGTTTTATTTTATAATTGAAACAACATATTAGAAAACATATTTAAGAATAAAATATCATAATTGCTTACATTCTGAGGCCAATTAAAAATAATGTTCAATTAAGAACAGGTGAGTGGTTCTCGCAGATCCACCAAAGCTTCTCACCATTACTTCATTTCTATCTCCAATTTCTTTTGATTTTGAAATGAGTAGTTTATTGTGCGTTATAACACTACCGGTCTTGAAATAAAGAAGGAGCCCTAGGTCTTCTCTCTCAGACTCGTACCCCGAGGTAGCCGCCGCCAAATCAAGATGAGCCCCTTCCACCATAGCTCCGTCATTCCTTCCCTCACTTTCTGAAGCTCCTCAACCTCCTCTCCTCCATGGCTTTGGTAGTAGCTGATCCTCCTCTTCCGTCACCACTCAGACCTCCTGCAGATCCGCCGCCGGGTAAGTCTCCACCAGTTATCCATGAAGTACTCTCTCCTTCTCTCCGTCAGAACAAATAGATCCATCGGACTCATCATCCATCCTCATCCCTATCTCTGTCCTCGTTGCCTCCACCATCTCCTCTCTTCATACACTTCCCCAAATTCTAGATCTGGTTTTTCTCTTTCTAGATCCAGTGTTGCAGCTGCCTCTTTTGGGTCCACTGGTGACACGATTTTCATCTGCAGTCGCGTCTTCTTGCCCCCTTTCCACATTGCAAGCCCTCAAGACACTTCTTCATCTTGGCACCTTTCTTCCTTCATGACTCTTCCTCTTCCCTAGGTCTGATCCTACTCGTCATCCTCTACTTTTCCGATCTTGGAACAGCTCTTTTCAGGATGGGAAACGCTTGTTTTATGAAGTATGGGTATATTGCTTCCATTAACGATTGTTTCGGTCCCTTCTGTTTCTGATCCATTGCGACTCTTTACTGCAATATGCAGAGTATGTCCCATTTTC